GAGTAAACATATATTTTGTAAATGTATTTTATTTAGTTAAAACAATTTACTTAGTGAATATTTTGTTAAAACAAGTTAAAATAATTTTACTTTTTTAACTTTCAATTATTTAATCATATTCTATACATTTTCTAAATTTATTTTCTCAAAGAATTACAAAAATCACTAAATATTACTACAATAACTTTTCATTTTCATAATTTTTTTAATTTATTTTTCCACCCACATTTATACAAAAATTTGAAAAATGAAAAGAGGAAAAAAACAGCTTAGGAATCGAATTCCCACTAATATTCCAATTTAGGATTGTAAAACGACATTAAGAATTTGGCTTTCCGGAAATTGAATTGTGTACTTAATCAGAAATTACGCTAACTGTGTAAAAATAAGGCACGATATGTTATCAGATAAAAAAAAATCAAACAGTGTTATTATAGAAAAGAATTCGAAAATATCAAGAATAAAAATTTTATTATTTAAAACTTAAATAAATTTATATAAAAAAGATATTTTTTAATTAAAATAAAAAATAGTCATTGTCATTATATCTTGAAAAGACTGATCCACCTGGCATTTGAAAATAATTAATTTTAGATTATTTTATATATTTAGCAAAATATTATACAGAAAAAAAAATTAGGACTCCATGATATAAAAAATTAAAAGATTTTACAAAATACATAATGGATTAAAGTTAATAGACTATTTACTAATTCGTTCATTAATCCTAGTTAATTATAACATTGTTATGGATTGATAGGTCAACATGATTCGTTACAGGTTTCATTTAGATGGACACATTTCTTACGGTGTGTTCACTTGAACAGAAAGTACTGTTCAAGAGTATTTGAGAGCAAAGAAATGCGACTTGTTTTATGTTCACTTGAGACAAATGGCGTGGATTTGCGGGAGATGAAAGACGCGGATTTGCGGGATTTATAAATTTTTCATCATCCGCAAGAGTGCAGCGATTTGGAAGGATTAACGATACAATATCTTCTTTACCATTTGCCTATTATATAATTCCAACCCAAGTCCTGAAGCTTACGTACATCGATTCTAACTATGAAATAACCAATTCCATATGAAGATGATGGTTGAAGATGAAGTTTGAAGCTGAACAAGATGAAGAACGGTGGCTGAAATGAAATATTTTTTAGGTGTATTCGGTTCCCTTCCACTCGTATTCGGTTCCAGAGGTGGGAAGAATTTACATGGCACCTGTATTCGGTTCCCAATTGTTGTTATTCGGTTTCCATTATTCACAACCATTGTGTATTCGGTTCCCAAGCACGATGTTCGGTTCCATGTGTGTTTGGCTTGACGTTTGACTAACAGTGTTTTCGGTTCCAACGTTGGAGCCTTTCCAAGCTTCGAAGCTTCGTGGTAGAGGTGCAGGCGCCATGTTCGACGAAGCTGGAGGTTGCTTTAGTGGTGGACGCTGGATTATATGCGACGGAGGTGGAGGATCCAGCTGCCTTGGCTTCCGGCCAAAGATCCATTATCACCAACACATTTCTGCATGTTCAAGCAATCCCAAAAGCCAACACAAAATAAAGAGAAATTTGGTTGTAAATAAGAGGAATTATTAAAATGAGGAACCACACACTTCCTACAAAAAAATGACACTCTCAAGATAAAAAAAAAAGAAAAAGAAAAGTAAGCACAACCAACAACTAAAAAGCTTGAAAATAAGCAAACAAAAATGAGAAAGGTGAGGACTTGATTGTTGAAAGAGAGGAAAGAACACACATGTATCTTCTTCAAAATCTCCTTTCCTCATGTCTTACGAGGCAATGAAGAGAAAGGATTGTGATTTGTAAGAGATAGGGGAAATGCAGAAAGGGTGGTAATAGATATGAGAAACCAAGTCGGGAAAAAAACAAAAAATAAGCTAGAGAGGTTCATCCAATCTCAGACTTATCCTCTACAACCCTTGGAACCAAACACACACCCTTCAAACTCAGCAACAGCATTACCTGTATCTCTTTCTGCAAAGACGTGCAGAAGAAAGAAGAAGTTTTCTCTATATTTTCTTTCTAATTTTTCTTTTATTCTTTAATATTAGTGCAATGTAGTATTATTATTCTTCTATTTGTAATTGATTATTTATAACCAATAAAAATGCATTTTATTTGATGTATTAAATTGCTTCTAAAATTTAGAAGCTAATATATAAATATTTAACAACATTTAATATTATATTACAAAAAAATATTAAATTATATTTCTAATACATAAATATTTAACATCATTTAATATTATATTACATAAAATTATTAAATTATATTATAAATCATATGTAGTAAATTATATTACAAAAAATATTAAATTTAAAATAATTTTATTTTACTAAATTATATTTAATTTAAAATAATCAATCTCACTTCTATAACAAATAAATTCATATTACTTGTAGTAAATTAAATTACAAACAAATATTACATTTAAAAATAAATTCATTTTACTAAATTATAAATTTTTTTACTTTTTAATAATTATTTTTAATTTTTTACTGTTTATAAACATTTTTACAATTAAATATAACATTAACAAATATCATTTTATATTACTTTAATAACTAGGGGCCTTTTGATAATCTTTAATTTATACCAATTAAACAAACTTTTTAAATCTCTCACATCAATCCAATCCTACACTAATTCTCACGGACTTTACTTCCAAATCCACTCAAATAAATAACAAAAAAATTTACTCCTAAATCCCTTTAAATTCATTCAATCACTCTCTTCCAAATCATCTCCTTCAAATCATCTCAAGTGAACACACCATTAATAATTTCAGTTTATTTTATTAAAATTTTGTAAAAGGAAAACAAACTACTTTTTCAGTTAGGAGCGAATTTATGATAAACTTGATTGATCCATGCATTTAAACCTGATTTTTCAACAATTTTTTTTAGTAATTGTGAACAGTGGAATAATGATTAGTTTTTTTATCCATAATTAAAGTTGTTGTAAAATAAAGGATCTTTATTCAATCCTTTTTAAGTATATGTTATGAGCACAGAAAAAAAACTGACTATCGAAAAACACTTAATTTAGGTTTTCTGTTTGTGTGTTACTATTTGTCCATTTGAACTTTCCTTTTTCAAAATTTAATTTAAAAACTGAATTTTTATTAAGGTTTGTTGCTTAACCAATAATTGAAGAAACAATATTGTGGTGTTTCAACTGCCAAAGAAAGATTATGGTTCAGAATTTTCACGCTGTTTTTTTTCCGTATATTTACGAATATAAAATAATAATAATAATAACAATAATAATAATAATAAATGAATCAAATTTGTTATTGTATCCTATGTTACTCAAATATTATACTTTCAATCTCAACTCGAACCATTTAACGAATTATCGACAATAGGTCGATTATAAGTTAATATGATTAACTTTAATGGTGATTAATTTAGAAATAAAGTATAATTACTCAAAATTATAATGTGATTAGATTAATGTTAATCAAAAATTCTTATAAATACAAATTTAAAAGAACGAGATAGATGATGCACTATTACTTGTTAAATATTAATGTTAAACTGATTTTAACATTAGAGTATATTATTTTGTATCCTCTTAACAGTTTGAATGAGCAATTAAACCCAAAACTTAAACTTTAATATAACTTTCAGATTTGAAAATGACTCATCAAATTTAGACAGTTGATCTCGATTTTACATCTCAAACAATTATAATGAAAACATTGAAAATATATTGAAGTATTCCGTTTCTATTATTAAGATTTTTTAACTTTGAATGTATTTAAAATATCAATCGATACTCTGACTATTAAATAAAGATTTAATATAAGTACAAGATTAATATATGCATCTGTAGTTAAAAATGCAAGTTCTTCTTTTATTAGTAATATACCCCCTACTCTACAGGCACGTTGACATTCTTTCTGGAAAATAATTGACAAACCAATTTCTTTCAATCAACTTAAAGATAGGTTTAATTATGGTGTCTTGAAGTTTGTCCACAACCTGGAATTAAAATCGCCACCATAAAGAGGAAATAAAACACTCGCAGNACTACTTTTTCAGTTAGGATCGAATTTATGATAAACTTGATTGATCCATGCATTTAAACCTGACTTTTCAACAATTTAAACTTGATTAAACCCAAAACTTAAACTTTAATATAACTTTCAGATTTGAAAATGACTCATCAAATTTAGACAGTTGATCTCGATTTTACATCTCAAACAATTATAATGAAAACATTGAAAATATATTGAAGTATTCCGTTTCTATTATTAAGATTTTTTAACTTTGAATGTATTTAAAATATCAATCGATACTCTGACTATTAAATAAAGATTTAATATAAGTACAAGATTAATATATGCATCTGTAGTTAAAAATGCAAGTTCTTCTTTTATTAGTAATATACCCCCTACTCTACAGGCACGTTGACATTCTTTCTGGAAAATAATTGACAAACCAATTTCTTTCAATCAACTTAAAGATAGGTTTAATTATGGTGTCTTGAAGTTTGTCCACAACCTGGAATTAAAATCGCCACCATAAAGAGGAAATAAAACACTTGCAGTGTGTGACAGTTTCTGACCGTTGCACCATAAACTTTTCTTTAAAATTGCTAACTGCACACGCTCCATCACGTTTTCTAGTTCCATGCTTTTCAAACATTATTTAATATTCATAATTACACAAAAATAAATACTGATGATGAGTTATTACTCATTTATTATACACAAATCATAGTCTAATCATTCAGGTTGATCAATAAAATCATAAGTATAAGCTCTATTATGATAAAACCATTTTTTATTTCATCCTCAGAAAAGAAAGTTTAAATTCGGGCTTTGAATGGGTCAGTGTTATGGGCCTGAGGCGACGGATGGGCCCAGACATTTGATACACGTGGGAGATTGTGATAGGTGGAGAGTTCAGAATGAGACAAAAAAATTCAAAATGAGAAAGAACATGGTATTTATGGTACAACACTCCCTCTCTACACTTGAGTGGAGACTACTCCACCACAGTTGCATAACAGAGCAGAACCAAAGAACAAGACTCAGATTTCAAAACGCGAGGAACCGAAGGTTATGCGCCTTAAAACAACCACCTATATCTGGTATCATCTTCTTTCTCCGTTTTTAAATTCGTTTTGTGTAATGGGCATTCTAAAGTTTGAGTCTTTTGTCCCTTTGTTCATGGTTTGCTGCATTTTTAATTTACTGGGTTAACCTCAAATGTCCAAGTTCTTGTATCTCTCTCTCTCTGTTTTCATCTCATTTGCCTCTTTCTTTATCATGTCTCTGTTGATTTTTTTATTTTCTATTCTGCCTTCTTTCATTTAGTTTTGGAGGTTTTGAAAGTTGAATGTTTGCTACTTAGCATCTCACCAATAATACCATAAAATAAGTTATACAAGAGAGTGGCAGTTTTTATGAGTTGCTTTTAAGGTTATGTTGAATATAAGTTTAAACTGTGAGATGGTATTAATTGTAATTCAAATCCTGCAAAAGAGATATCTAATCCTTGAGGGAGATCAGGTTAAAGATCTTTGTGATGTGAATTAAATAGTTTATGCTAGCTAGCTTAGTAATGGTAGCAGTTTTGAAGTTACCGGAATGATCTCTTGCATTTGAATTTCCATTATCTTCTAGATGTAATGTTTGAACGGTTTCTTCTCTCTCTATTAGAGAAAAAAAAAACTTCTCTAAAATTAGTTTATTATCTACAATAAAAAGAAAAAAATTATAAGAGAAATTTTCTAAAGATTATTTTATAGATAAAAATACATATAATATAATTTGAATTTTCTCAATATCTTTTACAACTACCTTATTTCCTGTGCTCCGGGAATCATAAGAAGTGACTTAGATGATATATTCTTTAATCGCAATACATTATTTAACAAACACAAAAATCTATACGGCACCAGTATTTTTCCTTTTTGTGCAAGTGATTTGATTTTTTTCATGGCTTGAGCAATTTTTGTTAGGGGAGAAGTTTGTTCAGAGAAGGAGAATATGGGTGAAACGATGAAGAAGGAACCGTCACAGTGGTGGTGGCTTGATAGTCAGAACACTACTAATCGATCCCCATGGCTTCAATCCACTCTCTCTGGTATGCATTGCATCATCAATTTCTTACATTTTTATTTTCAGTTGACAAGTGATAACATAGAAAAAGATGAAGCATAAAAAGGTCATGGGGGCACCCTTATGATTATCTGGGTGTTACTTTTCAACTTCTTTATCTTCTCTACCTTTTGTCCTGTGGATTTAGCCGTTGGAGCTACCCATGGAACCTTTTTGTGCACATTCTTTTGGATTTCCTAACCTAGATACAACTTCAGGAAATAGAATATATGATGGAAATTACAGTGAGTCCACTAAGAGGGCCCATAATCAGTGCTACAAAAGATGGGCCGAAGAGGCCCAATGATTTTGTTCTTTTTAAAAGGGAGTGTGTTCCTCTCCGTGGTCTGTTTCACCAAACCCTAATTGCTTAGCCGTTTCTTGCAATTAGCGATTGTTGCTAGACTTTGATTTGAAAATTTCGTGTTCTGTTCTGTTTCGCACTTGTTCTTCATTTAAAGCTTTGTATTAATATTTTGTTTTAATTGAATTGAATTATGAAATTGGAAAAGGAACCAGGGTTTTTTTTTGTTTTGTTTAGAAAAAGAATGAGTGAATTGAATTGAATTTTGAGAAGTAGCTGATGATGAAAGTATTATTGGTACGAGTATCGGCAACACTTCTGCGCACCGTGATTGTTTATTTTCACGGGTTGTCGTTTCGATGAAGAATGTGCCAAAATGCTAATCTGAGGCTCTACGTTTTAATTCTCTCTGTGATATTGTGTTATCGTTTCACGAGTATTGCCTGTGATTTTCCTTTTTTTTCTTTTCCTAATATGCAATAAATTTATGTGATTATCTGTGGCAGAGCTAAATGTGAAGACAATGGCAATGCTAAAGTTAATTGAAGAAGATGCAGATTCCTTTGCCAAACGTGCAGAGATGTATTACAAGAAGCGACCAGAACTTGTGAGCATGGTTGAGGATTTCTACAGGACACACCGCTCCCTAGCTGAGCGCTATGATCAAGTTAAACCTGATACCACTGGAATTGGACACCTCGTTACTGGGGGGTCACCTTTTGCTTCAGCCAAGTACCAGATAGAGAAGTTGATGTGTTTTTCAGATAATGGGTACGACACCTATTCTGAGCATTGTGATGTGTACGAATCTGAGGAATCTGAAGTAGATGATGATCCTGAGCAGGAGGAAGAGGGGACCGAGTTTGTTCACAGCTGTACAAAAAAGGAGAAAGCTTCATCAGTGGCCGTGAGTGATGAATTGATGAAGCTGAGGGACGAAGTCAGAAGACTCAATGAAGAGGACAATGCTCATAGAGATCAAATCAAGGAGAAGAACACAACTTGTGAGGAAGTCAAGATGTTGAGGGAAGAAATAGGAAGGCTTAGAGATGAGAATGAGGAACAGAAGAAACAACTCAAACAGAAGGATGAAGAGAAGATAGAGGTGATAAGACAGTTGAGTTTAGCAATAGATTTGCTGAAGCAGGAGAATGTGAAGATGAGAAATTTCATTTCCAAGGAGTCTACCAAGAAATGGAAGAAACCGTTTGATGAGATCAACAAACTTGTGGGAGCCTTTTCGATGAAGTTGTTCAGTGGTGCTCCGAGGAATCAGCCCAGCGTTGAGCTCTCAACATGTGGTCGCAAATAACTAACTAATTATGTTCAAACGATCTTATGGAGATGTTTATATTCATGTTAGGAACTTATTCCTAAAATCTTACATTTTTTTTCCTTCTATCTCCGTAGTGTGTGTGCTTGGTTATATTCATTATATTATTCTTTTACATATGCAGTCTTCTCTATAGCAGTTGTATTCATTTCAATCGTTACAGATGTGTATTTTGTATTCCTTTATATATGAAGAAGTAGTCCCTTCGAATTCTTGTCTGTCTTTTGCATTCTTCTCCCTCCTAACGGGAAGTGATTTGTGATCCTAAGCACCATAAGAGTAAATAGTGGTCCTAGGGCAAAATGACTAACTCCTCTTTAGTTCGATCAATTTGCCGAAGTTAATGTAGGTTGGTGAAGGCAAAGGAAGGAATTTTCCATGTTTCTTCTGAATCTGTGATGGGAAAGTTTCCCGGCTTCTGTTCTGTAATTCCAAAGTTAATATCTTTGTTTTGTTTGTTTGTATTGAGGGTATGAAAGATAAAGTTGTCTTTCAGCATTTAAAGCAATCATTTCTAGAATTTGAACTGAATTGAACTCAACTACTACTAAGTTTGATGGACTTTAAATGTTGAAATAACATGCTTAACACAACTACACAAAAAGAAACACCAACATCAATGTATTAACAAGGCATGAAGCCACATTTTGTAAATTACAGGTAAAATAAAGCACGACATTGAGCATAAGGGCTGATATGTATACTGGAAAGCAGAAGCCTCAGATGGAAAAAGATTCGATGCAGTGCCTGGAGTGCCCAAGACATCTGGGTTGGGAGGGCTCGGGCTTGAAGGAATTGTGAGCAGTGAGGAATATGATGGAGAATGAGAAACTCCACCTGCAATTGGGGTGGGAAAAAGTGGCTCAGTATCTGGTGATTGAGTAGGAGAAACTACAGGATCACTAGCTGCTGCTGCTGCTGAGATAGTGGGAGAAGAAGAAGAAGCCAAGGCTAATGAACAATTACACGCCAACATGGCCATCAACATTGCCCAGATTGACCAAAAGAGAGCCATAAGTGATGGGGGAAAAATATATATTACCTTGTGATGAACTTTAATAAATATATCTTGATGAGAAAGAGAAAACTGTTACAGGAGAAGCTGTGAAAGTGCATGATTGATGTATAGAACAACGTAAAAAAAAATAATGTTTCTGGTTGAGAAGATAAGTACACATAATTTTTAGTTGTTTTGTATATTAAGTATTTTAGAAAGTAAAGCAGCATCCAAATGAAAAGGGTTCAACAGAATTGGTGGTGGGCTTCCAATTGTCAGTGCTAATTGATGACTAGGACCTACTTGTTGCTTTCTGGAGAGAGTGAATCCAAGATGTCCATGCCATATAAATGAAAATCAAAAGGAGGGATAAAAGGTTAATCCACAGGAGAAAACAAAGGAAAAATTAAGGCGATTTGCTGTTTTATTAACCCTCTTTTACGATTCCCTAATCTTAGTGTTTTTTTTTTATGTATAAGACAATCTTTTTGTTTTATCAATGTATCTAAAAACCGATCATATAAATATTTACTTATTATGGTGATTAAAATTATAACAAATAACCACCAAATCTTCAGGACTGTGTAAAATATGTTGCATCGTTTCACATAATATTAACTATAGAAAAGAAAATAAGAGGAAACGAATTTCGCACAAACATAATATTCATGTAACTTTTTGACATTTATGATTCCATTCCCAACCCTAGAATATTATATCTCAAAGCATAATTAAGAGAGAAGGAAGAACTCCAACCTTTTTCTCTCATCATTCGCAAACAATATATGATTTGGAATTGGACCCCATGGTAATTTCTTCCCTCACCTCCATAAATTTATTCTTACACTCCTATAAA